AAAAAAAAAAAAAAAAGACTGACTGATGGGTAACAACAAAAAGACAGGAGTATATGCCAAATGAGAACTCTGAAAATGAGGTTGCTAGAAAAGGCTACTGAATCAAGAAAAGTACCTAAGTCATTGGGGGAAAACTGTGCTTTCTGAAGGCAGCAAGAAAAATGCCCACGTTTTTGCCTTGATATCCTCAGACTTCTAAGAATGAAGGAAAGGAAGGTATAGTATTACAGAGTAGTGAATCAGGGTTTACAGACCCAGACAACCCTGGGTTCAGATTCATTAGGCCATCTGTGCATCTCTAATGCGCAACCAGAGTTGAATCATTGTATTGGAGAATGCGAGAGTCATAATCACATGTAACCCAAACAGCTCCATGTTTTAATGCTGGGGGTAACTGGTTTATTTTATTGTTTATAATTAGCAGATTATCTTGAAGCCAATCTCCTAGACACAAACACATGGACTTTACAGACTCTTTAAACAGGATACATCACTAAAGGATCCAGTAACAGCCCACAGTGAAAAGTAATAATTCTGAGGAAAAAAAAAAGATCTCCCTGTGACAGAACAAAACACATTCCTATAAAATTAACAAAAAGCAGTGTAAGAAGCAAGCTTCTATTTTATGAAAAAATCTACACCACTAACTCATGTAAAATAATTCATCAACTCAAAAAGTAGAAACAAAGATCAAATATTAATTTTAAAAATACCTGACACACTATAATGTGTGTATATAGTCTCTTACATGGTTTAAGACTATCTGAGTATTAAACACCCAGTTTTTCTCAAGTTGTGGCAAGCCCAAATATCGTTCTGACTGTACAGTCACTCATGAAGATCGAACTCAAACAGAACTCTTCTTAGAATTACCATCTTAAATTTTGTATCATTACACCTGTAATTTTTTCAAGAACTGGGTCTTTTTTATTTTTAAGACAGCTTTACCATTTGATTATATTCACTGTAGAAAAATGTGAAGACACAGAAAAATATAAAGAAAATTAAAATTGTTTCCCTCCCCCAAATATGGTAACAAAAGATTATAATATATTCATTTCTAGTCTTTTTATACATCAATGCAGAATTTAAAGACAAAATTAGCAATGTAAAATGCTTACACATATCCTTTTGTCATTTCATATTACAGAGCAGTCATTTCTTTAGGACATTAAATATGTGAAAACATGATCTTTACTTGGCTGCTTCACAATCTAATTAGAGCTAGGTCATAATTTACCTCCAACTGTTGGATATTCAGATTGTTTTGTATATTTGTTATTATAACTAAAACTATATTAGATATCCTTCTTTATACATAATTCTTTGTATCTCTGATAATTTTATAAAGATAAAGTCCTAGGACTAGAGTAGCCAGCACAAAGGGTGTAAGTATTTTTAAAACTTTTTAAAACTGTAGGAATTTTACCAAACTGCCCTCCAGAAAGACTGTATGAATTTACAGTTACACCAATAAATAGTCTAGGAATTCCAGTTCTTCTTCATATTTCCTTGGTAACATAGGAAGCTGGATGTTATCTCCTACCCTGTATTATTACAAACTTACTGGGGGAAGGGCAAATGGGGTCTTGTCTTTTTAAGAATTTTTCCACGTGTTTAACTGGTGATTTGCTTTCCTTCTGTTTTCTGAAGCAGTCCAAGCCTTCTAGAAGGCATTTCTGATATGTGCATGTCTTGTCATGTTCTTCCTTAGCAGGCAGGGGCATGAGAGCTGCATGTCTTTCCATGTTTTTTCCATTAACTAGGCAGAAATTTCCCAAATGACTGGAATTAGAAAGTCTTCTGGTCTTCTAGGCAGCCATGCTCTTTTAATGTCTTGGTAATAAAACAGAAAACTGGGCTGTATTCTAAAAGGAAGAAAGCAGGCATAGATTACAGTTAACCAAGCACTTGCTGTAGGTAGTGATTCTTAGGATCAGGATAATCACCTGGAGTACTTATTACAAAACCAGATTTTAATTTTAATGTTTATTTTTGAGAGAGAGAGAGAGCACGAGAAGGGGAGGCCAAGAGAAGGAGACAGGGTCTGAAACAGGCTCCAGCTCTGAGCTATCAGCACAGGGCCCAACACAGGGCTTGAACTGACAGACCTCAGGACGGTGACCTGAGCCAAAGTCGGATGCTTAACCGACTGAGCCACCCAGGTGCCCCAAACCAGATTTTGATTTCAGAGAGTGAGGACTCATGGTGTACACTCCTCAGAAAATTCTCATGTTCACCAAAGCTTAAAAACAACCAACCAGAGGTGGGACTTGGGACATAGCTCATAACTCTTTGTTCCTCTGTCTCTCTCTCCTTTCCTGTAAAGTGTGTTTATTTCAAGAAGGTTGTTCAGATTCTCTCAGATCTCTATTCCCTTTCACATTCACTAGGACACATTTTATGCACCAACCTCCAGCCTCGATTAATTTAACGCAATCTCTGTCATTCACCTTATCCCACTGGAAAAAATCCTTGAAATTTTAACATACTGGTATCTCCAAACATAATAGGATCTTCTTTATCACAGCGAGTCTTATATATCTTTATAAACCACAGCTGGACACACAACAGGTACTAAGTGTTTCTGAAATGCATGAGTGAATGTATGATACACATTTCAGTGTACAGAGGTCTGAACATGCTACCCCAGAAAACCCCAAAAGAATAAGCGGTTATTAGTAGGGTGTCCCTTAATGTGACAGAATGGAGGTCATGATTCTTAGTTTTGTCTAGAGCAGCAATTCTTCATTTTCTTCAGAATCTGATGATCAATTTCTTTCCTGAGAATCTGATGAAAGCTACACCTATTAACCCTCTTTAAAAATGCATATATACAGGGGCGCCTGGGTGGCGCAGTCGGTTAGGCGTCCGACTTCAGCCAGGTCACGATCTCGCGGTCCGTGAGTTCGAGCCCCGCATCAGGCTCTGGGCTGATGGCTCAGAGCCTGGAGCCTGTTTCCGATTCTGTGTCTCCCTCTCTCTCTGCTCCTCCCCCGTTCATGCTCTGTCTCTCTCTGTCCCAAAAATAAATAAATGTTAAAAAAAAAAAAAAAATGCATATATACAGAAATACACTATTTTTACATACTTTTCAGAAGTTTCTCAGAAGGAAAGGAACACATGAATTTCTACCATTCAAGCATTTTTTACTTAAAAATGAGGCTGAAATAATTTATTGCTTGGGAAATTATCTTCAAATTCAAAAGACCATGGTCAAAATACGGTCAGTTGGAAAACCTAAAAAAAAAAAAACCCATCATATTTTGCAGGTGACATTAGCCTCAGCAGCTGCAAAAGTATGAGTCATATTTCCCACAATCAATAGTGTGCTTGTTTAGACAAGCTAACGTTATGCTGCTCCTACTGCACCGCACTCAGGAAAATATAACGGTTTCTGGTTATAACACTCCCTATTCTTAGAAATTATTGTTTCCCTTTCCTTCTTAATTATAGGGTTGCCTGTATTCAATTATGATGGGGGAAAAGGGCTATCGTTTACTCACTTAAGAACATGTATCTCCTAGGTATACAGGTTGAAACCAACACAGGTATTTCCTGTCCCTTATGGACTTGAAGTCTAGTGGGAAAACAGAATACAAATTCCAATATTCTTGACTTTGCCAGTCCTTAAGGCTGACAGACACCTTGTTATAGGGTGTGCTGCAGCCTGCTATATCAGTTTGCAAGAACCAGCTCTGTGTATCTATCAGTGGCTTTGTGTGGACAGCTTGAAGTCAGCTGTGCTGGAGCATTTATACCATGCAGTCAGCATCCACTCCAAATCATGGTTCCTCCAAGCCCAGCAGTTGTCCATCACTGACCACCACACGGTGTCTTCATCACACTGAAATCGTGGCTCTCATTCCAGGGCTCCTTGGTAGTAGCAGTTCAGGTAGGGAGGGCTTTTACCAACTTTTCAAATCCTCTCTCAACTACCTGTCATAAGATCCAAGAGTACAGGTGTGTTCTAGGCCTTAGAACATGCTAGTTACCTTCTCTGGATAGTAGGGGAATATAATATCCAATCCATTTGAGGCAATTCCTTATCCAATGGGGTTAATCATCAGAGTCACAAAATGTCCAAATAAAAATCATGAGTCTCTGAGTTTAGCAGTCTGTTTAAATTATATTCTGGGAATTACTACTAGAGTTGAAAAGCTACCAATCTACAACCCATCCCATGTTTATCATTAATCACTGTCTTAATTTGACACAACATCAGCCCTGGGTAGACATTCTTTGGCACCGTTTTGGTATTGCTATCTTAGTGTTTTGGCTTTAAATTTTGCATGGATCTGCCGAACAGCAAATAGCTTTGTCAACAATGTAAGCCATGTGCACAATAAGCACAATCAATCTTCTTTAAAGTATGACTTAGTGATACCTTGCAAAGCATGACAATGTTAAGAATCTGGCGGACTAGATAATAAAACTCTCACCACCTCGACTTTCAACAGTCTTGCATTATTAGCCAAAACATAAAACTACTCAATTTTAGTATGATAGTAAAGAGCATGAAAACTTGTAGAGAACTTCTAGACTAGTATAAAATACACGACGGGCTAAATCAAGGTGAAGTGAAAATAAGAGAAAAAGGCAGCTGAAGGTCTATGGAAGGGTCGCTTGAAGATGGCTAAGGATACTTACCTTCAGGTTCTGGAGGGTTTCTGACCATTCCATGGACCCTATCTGAGGTATGGTAGTGAGGAGTAAACTTTTGGCTTTATTGGCATTTTCTTTCAGGGTCTTTAAGACCCGGTCCACTGAAACCTAGAGAAACAACAGCACAGGGTGTTACTAGCAATTTATAATTCCACTGCTTTTCGCAGACCATTTTCCCGAGTTTCTACCTCATCTGTGAAGTCAGTTTACTCCAATTCCAATCCCCTGAGCACCAGCTCTGCATTTTTCAAGGCAGTCTTGCTTCCAGGGGGAAGGTCTTGGAGAAACCTAATGACATCTCTGAAAAGCACCACTGGTTCTCAATATAATGCCTGAGAAACCATCTCAGAAGTATGTGTTAGCATGGTCTAGAAAGATGTGGCTAATTCTCCTCACATCCACAGTAAAATGGATCCCAGTCTTAAAACCATTGCTACACTGGCTAACCAATCAGAAGATGAACATATTTCTCTTAAAAAAAAATTTTTTTTTTTTAATAGAACTACCCTATGATCCAGCAATTGCACTATCAGGTATTTATCCAAGGGATACATGCTGTTTCGAAGGGGCACATGCCCCCCAATGTTTATCGCAGCACTATCAACAATAGCCAAAGTATGGAAAGAGCCCAAATGTCCATCGATGGATGAATGGATAAAGAAGATGTGGAATATATATACAATGGAGTATTTATTACTCGGCAATCAAAAATAATGAAATCTTGCCATTTGCAACTATGTGGATGGAACTAGAGGGTATTATGTTAAATAGTCAGAGAAAGATAATTATCATAGGACTTCACTCATACGAGGACTTTAAGACAGAACAGATGAACACAAGGGAAGCAAAAATAATATAAAAACAGGGAGGGGGATAAAACATAAGAGACTCTTGAATATGGAGAACAGAGGGTTACTGGAGGGGTTATGGGAGGCAGGATGGGCTAAATGGGCAAGGGGCTTTAAGGAATCTACTCCTGAAATCACTGTTACACTATATGCTAACTAACTTGGATGTAAATTAAAAAAAAAAAATCTTTCTTAATGTTTATTCATTTTTTGAGAGAGAGCGAGCGCATGAATGGGGGAGGGGTAGAGAGCAAGGGAGACACAGAATCTGAAGTAGACTCCAGGCTGTCAGCAGAGGGCCTGATTCAGGCGCTCGAACCCACGAACTGCGAGATCATGACCTGAGCCTAAGTCTGACATTTAACAGACTGAGCCACCCAGATGCTCCAGCACGTTTCCCTTTAGAGACGTCTTCAAGACGAATCAGTCTCATTATTTTTATAGCTCCCAATGAATTAATGGATGAGCTGCTAATATCACAGAAACAACAACAAAAAAATCCCAAACCAAACAAATAGTCCACTTTAATGAGCTTCCTGATGGGAAAACTAAACACTACATCTGCCACCTGAACTGGATCGAAAAATCTTTAGAACCAGCTGTCAATTTACAGAAAATAATACAGCGGACAGAGAAATCTTTCAAACTACCCCAAGGAGATGATTTCAGTGATCCAGATGGTGGGAAACTCTATGGGTCAAATGACCTGGTTTCTTTTCAGAACACTTGGAAGTAAAAAACTGTGGTGTTAGAGATCACTAGAAACGTGAACTCTGCCTCGATAAGTTAAGGAATTATTGTTGGAAAGTGATGATAATGTATGTTGTTAGGTGTCTATGGATAAAATTATGGATCAGAGTATAGATGAAATATGGTTGGCCATTAAGTTGGTATGTTCATAGATGAAGCTGGGTGCTGATTTATAAAAGCTCATAGTATTATCTACTTTTGTATATGACTGAAATTGCTTCATAAGGAAGTTGAAAATTGTGAATGTAAAATGGATAATTAGAGGTGGAATATTTGTCACACCTCACTGTACTTCAGAATGGATCTGAGGTTCAGGGACACAAGGACTATAATACTTTTCTACTTATTTCCTGGAGTTTATATAAAGTCCAAATCCCTCCCACAAACACTGAGGTGTGTTTTGGAAAAAAATGATGAGCACCGTTCACTGCGGGGATACGAAGCAGTGACGGGCTGGGTGCTGCCAGGTACATGGAGAGGCATACTTTAAGCAGAGTCTTCCAGGGCAGGCTCATGAAGCACCCAAGGGATTTACCTTATATTTGCTTTTTTTTTCCTTACACTTTTCCTTTTGACTGATATTTCTATATAGACTCTGACCTCTCTTTTCTTTGTTCCTAATGTTGGGTTCTACCCAAAATGCCCACTCTACTAACCTCCTCATAATAAAATCTAACCCTCTGTTTAAAGTTTATTATTTATTTTTGAGAAAGAGCAAGTAAGAGCTAGAGCAAGGGAGGGGCAGAGAGGGGGAGAAAGAGAGGATCCCAAACAGGCTCTGCAAAGCCCAATGTGGGGTTCGATCTTATGACCATGAGATCACGACCTGAGCCGAAGTCAGAGGCTTAACCGACTGAGCCACCCAGGCGCCCCTCTAAATCCTCTGTTTAATGTCTAGCTCAAATGTCAAGTTTTCTTCACACTTCTGCACCCCCCTCCGTCATAGCTGCCATCCGATGACCACCCCTGCATAGGAGCCAGCACTATGGTACTTGCTCAACATGTATCATTTGGTTTAATTCTCCCAGAAATCCTGCAAGGTCAAAACTATATACACCTCCCCCCCTCACTTTTGGCTCCATCCCACAGAAGAGTAAATGGATCAAATAACCTGCCCCGTCTTACAAGTAAATGGAGCAACAGGAATTTGACAGCGGGTTTAGGCAACTCCCAGATCTTCACACCACGCCAGGCTGCACATCTGGTCTAAAGCACAGTGACACACATGGCTGGTTGATGATGCGAACTTCATCTATGCTTTTCTTGTGGCATTCAGCGTTATCTGCCTTCATGCCTTACCACTTACACCCAGCTTAGTTTCTCTGCTTTCAACTCAAGCGACTCCAACTGACTGCTTTCCAAACCTCATGTATTAAAGGAAAGCACCATTTGCTCTGCAGAGGAGACCGATGTTACCAGACTGAGCAGAAAGCCACAGGCAGGAAGCAATCTGCTCTTGGGGAGTGGCAGGGGCTGGAGCCTCCTGCTAATTGGAGGCAGCTTCTCAACACCGCAAGTCTGAGCTGTCCCTTAGGTGACCAGAGCTGCCAAGTCAGAGATTATGCTGTGTCAGGATCTGGAAGTCTCTTACACACCAAGCTACTGATGCAAAACAAGGAACCTGTGTTCAAGTATAACCCAAACTCCATATACACAGATGGACAGACAGCAAGAACATCTTACTCGGTTTTGTATGAAAATGGACGGTGAAACAAGCAGTTCTGACGTAGTGGGAAGGGTCACCTTGGAGAAGATGTCAGCTCCCCTACGTGTGCTCAGAACAGCCAGCCCTGTACTCGTTCTTTACTTCAAAACTCCTTGACTGTACTTTTGTCCCTTTCTCTATTTTAGTCTATGTGCTGCTGAAGCGAGCACTCCCTTTCTCTTTTAAAATGAGATAGAGGACGGGGCGCCTGGGTGGCGCAGTCGGTTAAGCGTCCGACTTCAGCCAGGTCACGATCTCGCGGTCCGTGAGTTCGAGCCCCGCGTCGGGCTCTGGGCTGATGGCTCAGAGCCTGGAGCCTGTTTCCGATTCTGTGTCTCCCTCTCTCTCTGCCCCTCCCCCGTTCATGCTCTGTCTCTCTCTGTCCCAAAAAAATAAATAAATGTTAAAAAAAAAAATTTTTTAAATGAGATAGAGGACAAGACATATGATCCAGTTTCTTCAAGTAAAATCCAAGGAGTGAAAAGACAGGGGAATATTAGATTGAAAGAGATATAAGAGGCGTATCATTCCAGGGGCGCCTGGGTGGCTCAGTTGGTTAAGTGTCTGACTCTTGATTTCAGCTCAGCACATGATCTCACAGTTGTGAGATCGAACCCTGTGTTGGGCTCTGTGCTGAGTGTGGAGTCTACTTAAGATTCTCTCTCCCTCTCCCTTTGCCCTTCCTGCACAAGCTTGCATCCTCTCTCTCAAAACAAAACAAAACAAAACAAAGCAAAACAAAACAAAACAAAAAAAGGTATATCATTCAAATGCAATGTATGGGTTATAAGGGACCCTGATGTGAATGGTTGTAGAAGATTAGAAGGAAAATGTCAACAGTCTAGATATTTGATTACACTAGGAATTCATATCAGTATTTTGGGGGTACAATAATGGTATTGTGGTTATTTTGTTATTTTATTTAAAAAAATAAAAGAGACTCCTTTTGGAAAAATATTTACTCAAAATAATGAGGGCAGGGGAGAGAGAAGTGGGTAGGGGTATATTTATATGACCCAAGACTGGCCATAGGAAAGGTGGGTGATGGGTAACTGGGAGTTCATTATACTAGACTCTCTACTTTTGTAGCTGTTTGAAGTTTTCCACAATGAGAATATTTATTTTGGGAGCCTGACTGAAGTGGTCGAGTGTCTTCAGATACCAGTTGGACCTTGCCGTCTTTCCTGCCCAGAACTCCTTACTAATCTCCCCGCTGAAATCCTTAGTCTACATGGCGCTGCCTGCCTCCCTCCCTCCTCTCCACTCCACCCACGCATGCCTGCCTTTCCCACCGCACATACACCAGAAAGGCTTCCCAGACTTCAAATGCTTGGTTGAGTCAACTGGATATGTACTTCTCACCATACTATTTCTTTATAAGCCTGAGCTTTCTTACATTGGTCTGCTTAACCTCTGTAGTTCCTCCCTAAGCCCCCCAAAAACTCAGAATGTTAGACCCTTACAGGCTTGACTGTCTGCTGTCATATTCCTACACCAAGCATCATCCATCCAGTCATGGCAGGTTAAACAGATATGAACACAGAGTCCTCTTACCAGGAAGAGGTAATAGGTCTTTCCCTTTGAAAACAAACAACCCGTAGCACAGGATAAGGAAATTACAACCAAAACACACTTTCGCCTTTAAAATAAGGCCCAAGTCTCGGGGTGCCTGGGTGTCTCAGTTGGGTAAGCGTCTGACTTCTGCTCAGGTCATGATCTCATGGTTCGTGGGTTTGAGCTCTGGGTCGGGCTCTGTGCTGACTGTTCAGAGCCTGGAGCCTGCTTCGGATTCTGTGTCTCCCTCTCTTTCTGTCCCTCCCCTGCTTGTATTCTCTCTCTCTCTCAAAAATAAACATTAAAAAAATAAAAAATAAGGCGCAAGTCTCAAAATGAATTCCCACTGCACCTACATGTCTACAATGTACTGTTTACTGTTGATCCTTGGAAAGAAGTGTCTTGTTCTTCTCTCTGGAGACCTATTTTGTATCTTCCAATGAGAACTATAAAGAAAATATTTGACCATATATAAAAAGCTGACTTTAAGACCTGGTAGAAAGGTGGTTTCTGGAACTAATACAGTAGAAACAAATGGTTAAGGCACTCTCTCAATGGCTCTCGTGGCACCCGGAAACCCAGGCGGTATATATTCAGAAGCAAATTCCACCTACCGCTTCCTCATGCTCCTTCCAGCAATCATAATCTGTCGCCATGGCGATACTTGCATAGCAAATTCCAGCCTCCTTAGCAAGAACCACCTCGGGAACCGTGGTCATGTTGATAACATCCGCCCCCCAGGTGCGGAACATGAAGCTTTCTGCCCGGGAGCTAAAGCGAGGTCCCTCAATTGTGACCATTGTCCCTTTTGAGTGGCACCGGAGCCCTAACTTTTTAGCAGTCTCTATGAGGACCTAGAAAACACACAGAGTCACAAACTCAAAACATACAAATGTAAGTAACAGTTTAATATTGTTTTTTTTTCCCCCAATGTTGAACAAGTTAATTACTTAAGTATTTTTCTATAAATGGCTAGTACCTGGAGGCCCTCAGACAGAGCCTGGGAGATCACGGAAATGTGTTTCTTGGATCCTCACCTTCCTTACATAATCCTGTTCCCCCAGCGCCTTGCACATATGGCTTACAGCAATAAAAGCAAACAGTGAGCTTTTTCTATACACTAGGCATTTCTTTTTATACTTTAATTTCATTTATTTCTTAACAGCTTGAAGAGACTAAGCTGGGTTGTGAATATGGATTTGAGTCTGAGCTCTTCACCCCAGAGGCTGAGCTAAGGTTCTGATTCTAGTCACATCTCAAAGACATGCTAGGAACAGTTTCCAAGCTCCTGAAAGGTCTTTCATACACAATCTAAAGACCATTGTAAAAGCTTTTCTTGGCTAGAAGATGATTTCTTCATAATCTCTTTTGCCTGTTGCCTCTCCCACAAACATACCGAAACAGAATGAGGCTGTGCAGGTTTTTTCTCTCTAGGGATAAATTTATCATGGCATCTCTTTCAATGGTAAGGCTATGCATGGATTTTAAAAACATTATTTTTTTTTAACATTTATTTATTTTTGAGACAGAGAGAGACAGAGCATGAATGGGGGAGGGTCAGAGAGAGGGAGACACAGAATCTGAAACAGGCTCCAGGCTCTGAGCTGTCAGCAGAGCCCCACGCAGGGCTCAAACCCACGGACCGCGAGATCATGACCTGAGCCGAAGTCGGAGGCTTAACCGACTGAGCCACCCAGGCGCCCCTAAAAACATTATTTAAAAGCCTGATCAGTTTTTCCAGTATCTAATTAATAATGTACATCTAACCTTCAGGTTATTAATTTCTAGCCTGTGCTTCAACATTCCTTTTTAATTAAAAACAAAAATGAAGTCCTAAAAAAAAAAAATTAAGTCTTTTAAACTTAACTGTTAACCTACTTAAGCACTGCCAGAAATTCACTTAATCTTTGTATGTTGTTTTCTCATCTGTAAAATGGTAATTAAGATTGTATTATAGAAGTGTTGTGCAGGTTAAAGGAGCTAAGGAATATACATCACAGAACTGTGTTGGGCATATTGTAAACACTGTGTAAAAAGCCAAACCGGTCTTCTAACAATTGCTAATTTTGGCACCTTCTACACACGTTTGCCAAATAATTGACAAAGGTTCCTGGGGTGCTTTAAATATAAAATGGAGAGACTCAATGTCAATAAAGTCTCCAATTTAGGCCAAAGTATGTCTAGCCTGCATGTGTCGGAACCACATAAGCAAATTAACCTATTTCTTAAATAATTTTGGCAACTCCAAATTTAGAAGCGTGACAAGTCATAGGACAGTGAACAGTTGATGTTATATCATGTTTATTTATCCCAGATTATGTTGAAAATAAGAATATGCTTAATAAAAACTTTTCCCTAGAGTACAGGTTATAAATTCAAAGGCCTAAATCACTCCTCTTTCCCCTACCTACCCCCGCCACCCCCAAATTAAGAATATACCCAGCCTAGGGGTGCCTGGGTGGCTCTGTTGGTTGAGCATCCAACTTTGGCTCAGGTCATGATCTCCCAGTTCGTGAATTCAAGCCCTGCATCAGGCTCTGTGCTGACAGCTCAGAGACTGGAGGCTGCTTCAGATTCTGTTTTTCTCTCTCTCTCTGTCCCTCCCCCGCTGGTGCTCTGTGTCTCTCTCAAAAATGAATGAACATTTAAAAAATTGTTTTTAAAAGATATAGCCAGCCCAGTCCTGTCTTCATTAAATGTCTTTTAAAATCCTGAATACCTAAGCTGTATGTCTGGCCAAACTTGAGCACCTCTAGAGATGAGTGAAGGAATAACACAACCACTTGGTACATTGGATTATGGCGTGTTAAGTTCTCACGTCACTCTGGGAGGTGGGTGCATGATGGTGAGGAGGAAGAAGAGAAGGCTTCTTTGGGTGTGGGCCAGCTACAGTGACAGACCCCGGGGTCTCGTCACTTTGCACCCCCCACAAGAACAGAGAACTCCAACACTATGTACCAGAGATACAAACCACAGGCTGACTGAGAGATCTCTGGGTCTGAGGTCAAGATGCTTTCATTTACATGTTTTGAGCAATCATGATGGAATTCCTGAACCTACCACCATCCTTCAAATATTATCAGCAATATTAGATCACCAAGCTAAATATATTTTATGTGTTAGAACTTCCAAAGACTGTGTCTTCAGATTACCTCCTAAAACGACATGAAGTGAAAATATTTTGGGGGTAGAAGTGACATGGGACAAAAGATAAACACTACAAAAGGATATTATTCTGTGACGAGTATTTTTTCTACCCACGTCCTAGTGAGCCAATTCACCTCCCCAAGGGAAATCACTAGTTTTTTGGGTCAGTTTTCCAAAAAGACTATTTGCATGTAAATATTTTCATATTTACCTCTTTATATATAACACAAGTGGTAGAGCAGTACAACCATTGTTCACACCTTGTTTGCCACTTGACAATTCACCTTGACAATCCTTCCTCATCAGTACATGAAAAGTCATGTGAATGTTCAAAGTTAAAGTAATAATTACCAAGGGGCAGCACCATCTACTCTTTACATTTCTGGACAATATTTACAAATCTCTCAGAGTATGTAGGAATAAAGTTATATTCCAAAGGCTTATTTTTCTTTTTTTTTTTTTTAGTTAGAGAACACGCACAAGAGGAGGGGGGTGGGAATGGGGAGAGGGAGAGAGTGGGAGAGAGGGAGAGAGAGAATATCCCAAGCAGGCTCAACATTCAGTGTGGAGCCTAACATGGGGGCTCCATCCCACAACCCCGGGATCATGACCTGAGTTGAAATGAAGAATTGGACGCTCACCTGCCTGAACCACCTAGGCACCCCTTTCCCATTTTCTTAAACTGCCTTTCCTAGCACTCTAAATGTTGGGGGGGTCCCTTGACTTGGCTAGACCAATAACTGCTGAGTTAATGTGGTCTCAAGGGAGGCCAAACTCTGTTACTGGAAACTATCACCAAGCCACCACATTTGCATGAGTTCTGAAGACATCATTAGTATTTCCCTTACCCTACCTCTACTCCTAGTACTGTAAATCAGTGTTTTCTCTGTGGGACAAGATCTCAAGCACATCTCTCCCTAGTCTATTTCTTCCCAAGCTGCCCCCATTTGGAAATGGATGACAATTTTATATACATCTAATTAACCCTGGGAAACAAATTCATTATGTGGACAGATCTGTGTTTCAGAGGGAAGACTAGCACCAACATTTTGATATATTCTGCTAACTACCCAGAAACATATACATCCAAATACAAAAATACAAACTTAACCTTCCATTTTTTTAAAACAAATAAAAAATTACTTTCACAGAAATCAGAGGGAACCAACAAGCAGTGGTATATCTGAAATGGCTTCCCTGCCCCCTGATCCCCCGCAACTCCTGGTTTAAGATTCTAGAATTTTGAGATCACAGTCAGGTTAAGATGCCCTTGCTATTAACCACAAGGAACCTATTTTTACACAATTATGCAGGGTTGAACATAAAAGTTCTTCTACTTTCCATATGTAGGTGTTGAAATTATCTGAATGAGTGGCATGGTTAGGTACTTCCACTGGCATTTGTAGGGCTAACCCCGTAGTTCTGAGAGTTTACTATAATCCTGGAAAGGAGGCTGGACAGTAATAGCCAAACTCATCTTAAAAGTCAATGATGCCAATCTGACAATTTACAGATTATCACTAATAACTTAATTCATAAAAGCAGGTCCCACTCATTGGATGTCTCATAACAGGTATAGTTCAAAGCACTTTATGAGTAATAACCTATCTATCCCTCACACATTTCTATGAGGTACAGGTTATCATTATCTTCATTTTTCAAATGGGGAAACTGAGGCTCAGAGGCATTAAGTAACTTGTCCAACAAAACACAACTAAGCAGAAGAGCAGAGGTTTGATCCAAGAACCAAGGTAATCTTGTTCTAGACTATACATCCTTGACTAATACGCTGTCCTACACTAAATTATTTAAAAGGTATTCTGGGCCACCAGGGTGGTTCAGTCAGTTAAGTATCCGACTCATGGTTTCAGCTCAGGTCATGATCTCATGGTTCATGGGATCATGCCCTGAGTCGGGCTCCATGCGGACAGCTCAGGGCCTGCTTGGGATTCTCTCTCTCCCTCTTTCTGCTCCTTCCCTGCTTGTGCGCACATGCACCCTCTCTCTCAAAATAAATAAACTTAAAAAAAGGTTTTCTGACAGCAGAATCAAGTCCTATAAAAAGTAGCTTGCAACTTTGAGTGATTCAGCTTATAAATGACTAAGAGGCATTACTGACACAGAGAAACTCTTCGTGAAACCTTGCCCAAGAAGCAAGCTTGAGAGGTGGAAGAGGGACCATGTGCTTAGCCAATTAGTCTAACTCTAGATGCCACCCCAAGCCCTTACAACTTATTTTAGCGCACCTTCTAGAAAGACTACAAACCTCTCTCGTTTTGGGGCAGAACGGCTCAGCCATGGGAATATGGCATACTCCTCTGGCACAGGAATGACTTCCATCATAGAAGGTCTGAGGCCTTATGGTGGTCCTATAAAATAAAGTGAAAAAAAATTTTTTTTAAAAGCCATCACTCCATCCTCTGGAGGCTGGTGAATCAACTTTATCTAGGTCAGCATCTTGGTGCCTGCTCCAGAATCAATAGCTCTGGATATGGTGAAGGCAACTATTGGAAAAGCCACTCTGGAATGGTATTTGGCTTTTTTGGCTCTGGGTTGGTGGCAAAATGCTTCCCACCAGGTCTGGTGACTATGACAGGACAACCAAAGTGGACTGTAGGCACAGCTCAACTTTGGGCTTGGGAGGCTGGATAAACCACTTAAGAAGTCACTATAAAATTCCCAATCATTGTAGATGTAGAGGACTGTACAGTGAACCCCATATATATCCATCACCTGGATTCAACAATTCAAATGTTGTCAAGCTTGCCTCATCTGTTAGCTTTTCTATGATTGCAAATCTCAGACTTTGTCATTTTACCCCTCATTAGATGGACCAAAATATGTGTACTTTTCACTGCAATGTCATTATCACATCTGATTAAAATTAATTCCTCAGCACCAACTAATACACAGACCACATGCAAATTTCCTTGATGCCCTCAAAAATGTCCTTTTTTTTTTTTAAGCAAATGCTTTTTTAGTTTCAAGTTCCAGATGAGGTCCTAAACTTGCATTTGATTGACCTGTCTCTAATGAAAGTAATTTCTGCCCTCTACCCCCAATCTTATTTTTTCATGCCTTTGGCCCACTGAAAAAGCAGCCATTTGTCCTGCTCCACTTTTGGGAATCTCTTTGCCACCCCATTTAGCTTGTTGCTCTACCCATCATAATTAGTTCTGAACTCTCTTAGTTCAACTTTTTGGTAAAACATTTTTGAATCCACAAAGAAGAGGTTAAAATTAACCCAGAGCCAGAGCCAAATCACCCTGCAATTTTCACCCGAAGTTTTCAGAATAAAGCACTTTCTATGTCCTTTATATTGTTCTCAACTTGAACTCATGAGTAATACAGGAAAGAGACTCTTCATCTTTCCTACAGAGGGGAGGGCTGGAGAGGGCCAGACCAAGGGAAAACAGGGGAAGGTAGATCACTTAATGTCTACTTCCGGGGACAGGAGAGAAGGAAACGGCATGGAGAATATACTGGTTCAGTTTATACAGCTGGTGGGTCCGCCTACCAAAATTAATCTGTTACTTTCATCCTGTCACATACCAAACAGGGACACTAGCTGGCACCAAAGTCACCTGGCTCAGTAAGGAGGCCTCCGTGCTTTGCAGGGATGAAAACCTAGCCTGTACTCCTCCCAACCTTTTGTCATGTGTCTCAGGGGAAGGCTAAGTTAACCCCAAAGCAATTCCAGATGGGGTTGAAGAACAGGTCAAATGACTGTTCCAGCCCATATAAACAGAGGCTTTTCTCTTTTTGTAAAACTAACCAATAAAATGGTGCCACGTACTCCAGCTCTGGCTTGGTATCTGCCTTCCATGAGTCAAGTATTAGCAATATCCCCATTTACAACCATGATCGAGTACAAAAACAGGGCCACAAAAACCTCTAGCAGCTATACCCCAATGTCCACGCAATAGAACCCACACCGTATCTCTGTCCCTCTCTCCTCTATTTCTACCCTTTCTTTGCCTAATCACTCCTCTCTGTTCTGAACTTCTATCTTAAGACAAAACATGTATTAGTTATGCTTTATGTTATGTCATATACATGTGATATTATTAACTATAGTTTTCATTTCCTCTGTCAAGTGGAAGATTTTACATTTTTCACTTTATTTTTTTTTTAATTTTTTTTTTAACCTTTATTTATTTTTGAGACAGAGAGAGACAGAGCATGAACGGGGGAGGGGCAGAGAGAGAGGGAGACACAGAATCTGAAACAGGCTCCAGGCTCTGAGCCATCAGCACAGAGCCCGACGCGGGGCTGGAACTCACGGACCATGAGATCATGACCTGAGCCGAAGTCAGACGCTCAACCGACTGAGCCACCCAGGCGCCCCTTACATTTTTCACTTTAAATAAAGCTCTTTAACCACTAGCTATATGGCTTAGAGCAAACTGCCGTATCTTTTTGATTTTCCATTTCCAATCATAAAATGTATTTTATCCACCCATTTATACAGGTATTATGAGGATTAAGTCAATCAAGATGTCCAGACAAATGCCAGCAGCTCAGAAGTGAGGTCTGGGCTGGAGATGGAACAGAGAGCCAGCACCAAGGAGAAGCTGTGGTTGAGGCTGGAGCCTCAGAGCACTCAAGCCTACAGGGGCAAGTGAAGGGGACAGCCCTGAGGAGGAAATGAAGACTTTAATACTAATATTTCCAATGGTTTCAGGGCTAGACTGTCGAGATCCAGCAAAGGAAGGAGCAAATGAGAAATACCTTGCTTCACACAGCCTGCCCACCTATCCGTGGTGTTTCATATAACTTAAGTGTCAGTACATTCAATGAAACATTTAATGACCTAAACTTCAATTGCTATAAATAGCAATACTCCTGTCCAGCATAAAATAAGGCATGATTAATGTTGAAAGAAATGCTGACCAAGGGCAATGGGAGTTTACAATCATAGGGGACAAGAATGGAGTCCATTTTCTTTGATAAGTACAGTAAAGTATATAAATGTATTTTCTTTATGATTTTCTTTTTTTAAATGTTTTTATTTATTTATTTTTGAGAGAGAGAGAGAGAGAGAGAATGCGCACGCACACGACAGAGAATCCTAAGCAGGCTCCACGCTATAAGCACATGGAGCTTATGCTTGTAAACTGTGAGATCATGACCTGAGCCACAATCAAGAGTCAGATCCTCAACAGACTAAGCCACCCAGGTGCCCCTTCCTTAGAATTTTCTTAATGACACCTTCTTTTCTGTAGCTTACTTTATGGTAAGACTATAGTACATAATACATATACCAGATAAAATTCACGTTAAATGACTGTTATCAAAGGCTTCTGGTCAACAGTAGACTATTAGTAGTTAAGTTTTGGGGAGGTTAAAAATTATACATGGGCTTTCAACTCAACAGGAGTCAGCACTCCTAGCCCCCATGTTGTTTAAGGGTCAACTGTAATTTGTTACAGCATCAACAGGACACTAATACATATGCTCACATGGTTTAAGATACAGTCAACTGAGTTCTGGTTTCTGCAAGTAATAAAGAAATGACGCTGAAGGCTGTCCCAGCTCTTGCTACAGTTAGCAAACCTTCCCAGCTAGGCAAGAGGACTATCATTTCACTTCCCCACTAGCTTAGGACCCCACCTGGCAGAAAGACTCTTGAAGTGACTGATCTGGCTGGCTTTACCGCTTACTCAATAACTCTATGCCTCTAGGAAAGTCAATCTGATGTCTATGCACCTCAGTTTTTATCTGTTTTCTCATATTCAGAATGAGAAGTAAGTAATACCACCTGCCTTCCAAGATTGATGTGAAGACTGAATGAGACACATGAAGCAAGTGCTCAGCACTAGCAACTACTGTTCAGGGAAAATCTACTTCTGTACTTGCCACGTGCCAACCTCAGAGCCTGATGTGTGTGTGGACCTCAAGGCAAAGGTGCACAAAAAACTGTGTGAGACTATCAAACCCGGATACATGCTAAGAGACGTTACGTGTACATACAAACAAAAAACTGCCCATAGTAGAGTGAAGGAGGCAAAATTGTGTTGTGTACTGGCAAGAAAAATGACTTCAAGACTGCCAAGGAGAGAACACTGGGCACTTTCACACACAGAATAGGGAAAAGCCTAGAAAAAGACAGACTGGTAGGTTGTTTCTGAATCAAGACTCTTAAATCAGCCATAAGACAGTCATTTGTTAATAATTTTCCTTTGAAGAAATGCTGAGTTGCAAACAACTTGTCCTACAGCAGAAGCAAACCTAACTGCACATCTCTGAGGAGGCACATGTCCCCAACAGGCCTCAGCATGCAGGAACATGAGTCAATTAATATACTGGCAAAGCAGGGCCAACGACTACTCATAAGGAGCATGGCTTTGGGGAAATGATTCCACCCACATCACTTAAAAGATATCCAAACAATAATGTGCATGGGCAGAGACAAACTCAGTTTCTGAGAAACCAAAATGAAACAAAAAAAACCTCCCAGTCCCTCTTTTCATTACAGCCTGGGCTCTGAGGGAAAGTGGAGGTGTTCTATGTAGGTCTGTCACAGCCACCTTGACGCCCAGAAGCTGTGCTAGCAATTTATCCTACAGGGATGTTCACACAAATACAAAGATAACTGGACACACCAATGTTAACTGAACCAGTTAATACAAACAGGAAACTGAAAACAAATTTCTCACTTAGAAGGCAACTTAAATAAATCACATACCCAACAATGGAAGAGCGTATAGCTGTTAGGAAGAACGTGGTATATCTGACTACAGGTATGGAAAGCTAAGAGAGATGGTGAAAAGGGAAAACTGCATGTTGTGAACTGGAATAGAATAAAAAGAAAAACTTCTTTTTCTAGAATTCCTACAGTCATACAAACGTATTTTCTTTGTGTTAAAGAATATATAAATGTATATAATATGGACTCACAAAATGCTTGATTTAGTTAACAATATCTCTTTTTTTTTAGTTAATGGTACATCTCGACAATTTTTCTAGATCAGGACATAAAAATCTATTTGTTTAAAGTGCTAAATAGAAAGCCACAGATAGGCCAGTATATTTATTATACAAAAAATGGGTAATTAAAAAGGGTACAACCAGTATCTCTGCATGAGCTACCTTGTACACAGTTCTCAAAAAACCAAGAAAAGGAACTGTTTCGGTCAAAGGCCACACACTTTTGAAGTTTAATAGATCTTACCAAACTGCTTTTCAAAGGGCTGTAGCAAGGCATACACCCACTGGAAACATAGGAGGGTGTCACTTTCTACCATATGCTCTCCTCTACCATTTTCATTTTATTCCGTTACAAATATGCATTACTCTTTAAACGCTTTAAAACACAAGACTGTTGGATAGCATTTTAGTTTTAGCACATATTACAACACCAGAGACA